GCGCTTTTGTGGACCGCGGTTTTGACGGGTCACGCTACTTTCTCATAGATCTATGAGATATTCAGAACCATTTTTCTTAGAGCATGGTAAACTGAGCTTTTTTTAAAAAAAAATTCTCCCATGAACAAGCTAACTCTAAAACAGACACAGCAGTATCACTGTTATGTACCCAGGATCCCAGGCATGCCACAGGGAGCCTAAGAAATCAGAACACAGATAATTAAATCCAAAAAGGCTGAGATCAGGTAATATGAGAGACACGTTGTTCCTGGAACTCCGCTTCACCTTCTAAAAAGGAAGAGGAAAAGTACCAACCTGACTTATCTTGCAAATCATCCAGCCGCTCTCCTCTCTCTATCACCTTGGTGATATTTTCTTGCATGACATCAATAACTTCATCAACCTGGTTTTGAACTCTGTTTTAAAAATATACATAAGGATACATCACGTGACCAAGGAATTTATCATCCATACCAGAAAATGCTACTGACTGATATCCTGTGTGTGTAATCAAGATGCTGAGTGGGAATGATGGGAGTTGTAGCCCAATTTATTCAACAGCTGTGAGTCTGAATTGAGTGTGATATAGTTAATATCAAATATTTTAGTGTGCAAAGTCTTTAAATTCTTTATATAATTGTTAAGGAATGTACTGTAAATAGCAATATGTCAATTTGTTTTTTCAAATAGGCATCTGAATGGATAATTATCTGCCCCAGTCCAATATTGAATCGTGATTAAGGCAGAACTTGAACTGAACTCAAGGTATTGAATGAATTGCAAAAGTTGCAAGTAAGCATGTAAAGAGAATATATCAAAGTATAATACTTGCTAGATTCCCTACTAACCACCCTGCTCATCCTTTCTTGAATTCTCAACTACACGTTATGCCTACAATAGTTTCACAAGCAATATTTTAGATATCCTGGCATCTTTGTGGGTAAGTATAAGAATGTCAGCTTCTGCTTTGCTCTCGCTTCAGCTGCCATGAAACGGGGAGGGAGGGCATGGTATTTGGGAGGGGTTACTCATTGTGCTGGAGGAAGGTTCTGGAGTTCACCGACTGATCCGACTACGCATGCGTGGGTGTTTCCCGCCAGGACTAACGGCACCGACATTCCATCTTCGTGATGCCTTTTGAAGTTATCTCACACCTGACACTTGGAAGAATTATGATTGAACTGGGACTATGATGCCAAGAGGGTGGGGAATGGGCTATTCTATATATCAATCGCTTTCGCACCTAAATAATCAGACTTCGCTACGCTATGCCTTTAATCATTCTTAATTAGTAAAAGTACACTTGATTTCCACACATGGAGTCTCGTGGTCTTTCTTTCCTAATTAATTAATGGAGAGGAGCTGACAAAGAATCTTGAATTGTGACTTTAAAAAAAGCATCAGAACGGTTGTTCTGAAGCTAATATACACTGATCAAACAGCATCGATAACTAAACCAGTTATTTTGTACTGCAACAATCTAAGAGTTTATGGTGGTCAAATTTGTCTTCTATAGAAAGATACACAGAAATCATGATTTGGTCTTTAAAAGCAGAATGAGTTAGATGGATGTGACATATAGGAACTTGCAGAGTCTTTGCAATATCTTCCCTCCTTCATCTCTGGCCATTAAAAAAATACTGCCAGACATCTGCTGCTTTGTTAGCAGGTAGAAAAGTCTAAGAAAGAGGGAAAAACATTTGGAAGCCAATGTACTTTTTTAATGAGAACAGAGTCAAGTCTAGTCTAGGAGGAGTTTTCCCTTTAACAAAAATAAGTTTCACAAAATACATTAAAAGAGCTAACTTGTTTTTTCATGACTGACCAATAAAAAATGACGAAGAATCAGTCAAAACGGTACAAAGTGCTTCTGGCATTCACAACGTTGTGTCTACCCAGACACAATGCCAACTCCAAAAGCACATCAATCTCTTCATTATGCCTTAAAAAAGATTTGAAACTCCATCCAAAACAGCAATAGCTCCAGATTAAAGAAACTCATTTAATGACTATTTGGGTCCCATTTGGGTTTCCTTACATGAAGACTCAGATTAATAATTCACAGTCCATCACTGCATCCAGTATTCAAAACTTTCAGAGCATATATAGCACCCGTTGAAAAAAATATCAAACTGGGGACCATCAATATAGTGATTTCTTCATTGGACGTCTACCAGCCAAGTTAAAACTAGGCCAAAATGTGACACTTCAAACTCACATTCCTAGTGTCTAGTAACACAGATTCCAAACTGAGATAGGTTGTTTCTTGCATACCACCTCATCCCATCAAATGCAGCAATGATTATAACAGGCAAAGGAAATGGCAATTAGTAACATAACTGGACATTATTCATTTCCTGTATTCATCATTGCATAAAGCTGTGTTAGCAATTAAGAGTGTCACATCTTCTACTGACACTACAAGAGATTCTTGGCATGTTGGGGAAAAGAATAAAACTAAAGCATAAAATAAGATAATACTCTTGACAGGACTCCTTGTCTTTAATAACTGTGATATGGGAGTACATCATAATATCCCACTTCCTTTGCCTTTTCTGTATATCACTGAGAGTGAAGGAATAAAAATTATGCATTTGGGACAGTCTTAAGAATTACAGGCAGGCTGTCCTCTTCAGTTATAAAATGTTTGCCCATATCGGATACATGTAAAAACAAATGTAGAACTTTCATTATATGAAAGCAGTTAAAAAAGAAGCAAAGAAAAGCAGTTAGTGATTGTTTGTTTAGCAAATGTTCACAGTTATGACAGTGATATAACTCTGCAACTATTCCTTGCATTTATGACCTTTGCAGGTCTGTAAAACAAAGGAAAGAAAGATCATAAGTACAGTCACCGATCAGTTAGAAGCCACTTTGCTTAATAACTGAGTTGTCACAAATAAACAAGGACTATAGTTCCTGTATTTTAAGAAGGCTACGGATTCTGTCCTGCATTACAGTAAATATATAAGTTGTTGGTTCAAGGAAAATAAACTGAAAAATGTGCAATGAAGGAGGGTAGTTTTTCTAATCCCCAACGAAAGGAACTATTTGACTTTGCCAAAGCATACAGCATACATTCCAATGGTTACTCCTCCAGAATTGGTAAAGTTGATTATTTTCCTAATTTTAATTTTCCCTACTACTTTGAGTTTATTTATTTATATTTTCCTGTGAAACTGTATAGTGAAAAGAATTTATGCACAACCATAGAAAGAGGGACATTGTCTAAAAGATAAATACTTTTTTAAAATATTAAAGTACTGAAAGAAATGTGACTTTTCCGAAAGACAATGTTTGTTATTTTACGAACAGGCTTAGCTCTAATCTAGAAAACAGTAATACGTTTCACCTAATAAAGTATAATTGCAGAACAGTTAGATTAGCAGGACATGAAAATAAAGCAAAAATAGATTTTACCTGCCACAAAGTACTTACTGTCTGATCTTGTCATTCTTGGGTCCAAACCTTGGACCTGATGGCCCTCTCCTACAAAATGATTAAAGTTAAATTGTTACCTTTATCTCCCAGGATGAGTGGCAAATTATATGGTTGATTAACAGACAGATATTTGAAATTTGAAAGCATTATATATTCAGAAGAAACAGCCCACTCCTGGAAGCTCTGTAAAGACATCTGGCAAAGTTTTCAGCCCTTACACTGAAAACTTTGTAGTAGCTGTTACCGACAATCAATTACTGTAAGTTGTGCAAAACTTTGCCTGGTATTTATAAGGAACCCTTGAGATCAAAACACATAAAGCAGGCAGAAACAATGATGCATGAGACCTAGGATTTGATAGCTACTCTGGTTTGGAGACACTTACAAGAAAAAGTCCTCTTCTTCATCTGAATCTTCCTCTAGGAGGTTTCTCTGCAAACACAGAAGATTGATACATCTATGAAAAAGAGTATTTCTACTAATGGGAATTCTCATTCAAAAATAAATTTCAAAAGAATACTTCTAGACTTAATCAATACAACTTTTGTCAGAATGTAATGCCATTGACACAATGTATGGCAGTGGGCTCCAATCTTTTTGGTATCTAGGACCAGTTTTGTGGAAGACCATTTTTCCATGGGCTGGAGGTGGGGTGGGGAGTAGTGTACAACCTAGATCACTCTCGTGAGCAGTTTATGGTAGGGTTTGCGCTCCTATGAGAATCCAATGCCCGATGATCTGAGGTGGAGCTGAGGCGGTGATGTGTGCGCTGGGGAGTAGCTGCAAATACAGATGAAACTTCACACGCTCGCCTGCTGCTCACCTCCAACTATCCAGCCCAGCTCCTAACAGGCCATGGTCTATGTCAGTGTTTCTCAACCTTGGCAACTTGAAGATGTCTGGACTTCAACTCCCAGAATTCCCCAGCCAGCATTCGCTGGCTGGGGAATTCT